CACCAGAAGGGGAGGCCTGATTCCCGTTGTACTGCAACCGTTAGTCTGTTATACGACATTCAGGTTGACGCAGTTTACGAGACCTCCCTCGTTTCGGGTGAAAAAGGGCTAAGCTTTCGTCCATCATCAGAGCCGGAACTCATTATTGTAAAAGTCTCATGCTAACACTAGGTCAAGAAGACGCCTACAAGTATGTCATTTCAATCCCTGGTCATAAATGATCTGGCCCTTTTTCGCAACTTGTATTATCAGGGAAACCTTGTGCAATAGTAGACATTCTAAACAGCAGCCGGGCCTGGTCTGGCTTGGTCACAACTCATGAATAAAACAAGTGGCGCCATCTCGAGTATAAAGTAACATGACCAATATGAAAGACAATTGGCTAAACCATTGTATATCAATCGATGCCAATTCCCTTTCGTTTTTTAGTTGAGTATATATAAACTATACGATAGAGTCAGATAGTCTTCTTGACCTAGTCTTAACCTGAGACTTTTACAAGAATGAATTCCAGCTCTGATGATGTCCACTATGTGATGGGTGAAAGCTTAATCCATTTTTACCAGAAACGAGGGGCGTTATGGACTGCGTCAACCTTAATGTAGTATTAAAGCCAAATGGCTGCAGTACAACGGGAGTCAGCCGTCCTTTCTGGCGAGATCTCTTCTTCATGCACTTTTATATGAACTGAAAGTCTCCCAAAAAATGTTATATCAGGAGATTTATCTAATCCCAGTTACTCTTCGTATCTACTTACATACAATAAGATTATTTTTTCATCGTGACTTCTACTTTAAGGAGATTTATGGCCATTGTACAAATATTCTTTTTTTCAGAGCAGCCTACACATAGGTTCTTTTAAACTGATTTACTCTGTATGTATTTGTGTGAATCCTAAATAACCTTACGCTATTCTGTATTGCTCCATAGGATAATTCAACTTGCTGCATATAAATGCGGGCATGCAAATTATCTAAAAAAAATTGTTTTTTTTTGCTGCCTCACTTTCTCTGTAACTAAATTTAGCTTTTGCTCTCGTGGATTACATTTTATTTTCGATTGGTATTTTGGTTTGCAGATTTTGGAGTTGCAGCACACACTGGAAGATCTGTCATCGCGTGTGGAAACAGTTAAAGCAGACAACCTGAAGCTCCGTCAGGAAAACCAAATATTAGGTCAATACATAGAAAATATGATGGCCGCCTCGTCCGTCTTTCAATCATCATCACCTCGTATTGCAGATCGTCGTATTGGTGCGCTTCCTAAACTCTCAACTCACACATCTGGCGCCGGACGATAATGCCATCTGCTTTCAATAAGCTGGTCATCCATTTTTCAATTATCTTAATCCCTCATGCTTATTTCTTGACTTATTCACATTGGACATTGAAAATGAATAGTAATCATTTTGACTCACTTCGTTTGAAAGTGCTTACTGAAGAGATTCTTAGGTCAATTTCGTCAAAGACGACAGCTGATTCCTGATGTTTTGCGGTTGGCGCAATCCACAAGGCATCCCCCAGTTCGAGTGAGCTTTCGTCCTTCATATTAATGATATCGTCAAAGTGGACTTATTTCTCGAAAAC